GACAGAGATAAGCTAAAATTATTCCATATGCTTACATATTTATGGCTCTCATTGAATTTATGACAATGTTTTATGCTTCTTTATATTGTTTACTTCAGCTGTTTATGGATGAGATCTATATGACAAGCATTGAATAGTTCTCCTTGAAATGCACATATCTGTTCTTTATCCTGCAGTACTTTAACAAAATTTCAATAACTTTCAGCATCACCACTTAAATTCCTGCTCTCACTGCAAACTTGTATTCAAAGCTATGGAAGGAGTCAACAGGTTTCATACATTTATTTTTTGGAATGCATATGATAACAATAAAAAAAACCTGTAATACAAATTCTGTTAATTTTTAATATATTTTTCCTCATTATTTTTGGTATGTGTTAAAAAATGTCAATTTAGTCTTAAAATATATTAAATTATTCCTATTAATATATATATACCTATTGAGACTATTTTTATGAAAAATAAAAATCATATAGTCACTTGCTTAAAATATTTTACCAATTATTTACATCAAAATGTATACATCTAAACCACAATCAGGGTGACTGAAAATGATGACTATATATTAGCCAATCTTATCAAATAAACCAGGTTTCTAGACAAGGTCTCTCTCAATGTGTATCTCTGTGTGGTCTGGAACTTGCTGTGTAGAACAGGCTAGCCTTGTATTCACAGAAACTTTGAAGATTTGCCTGTCTCTGCCTCCAGAGTGCTGGGATTAAAGGTGTGCACCACCATGATTTGCCAAAATGAATTTCTTAGTTGGTCATACCTCAACTAAACTAAAAAACTGTTAGTGTACACTATTCTTTATGTTTATCTTTTAAAAATACATTTTTATTGAGTTTTGGGGTATTTCATATAATAGTTTTCAATCAAATTTAGCCCCCCTCCCCCACCTATGTCCCCCAATACCCTCCCCACCATACCTCATACATTCTTTCATATATGTTAAGTCCTACACAGTGAAGCATCTGTATCCTGATGTCTTTTCATGCAAGTTTTCCCATTGGAGTATAGTCAAGCCATCCAGAAATCTTAAAGATCTCTTCCTCCTCATCGGTTGCCAACAGTTGATAACCCATTTCCCTCTCTCCACACTGAGCCTTTGTCTGATTGAGTCACATGGGTCTTGTGCATGATGCCACCATTGCCGCAAGTTCACATGAGCAAACTCTCAGTGGCCTGAAAGCCCCTGTTCCCAATGCTCATGGGCCAATCCTAGCTCTTAAAATGTTTCTGTTCCCTCTTCTGCTACGGTCCCTGAGTCATGGGTGGATAAGATTTAATATAGGAATCCTATTCAGGGATAAGCACTCTGCAGTATCTTATTCTCCAAAATTTAGCTAGTTGTGGTCTTCTGTATGCCCACAACTCTGTTGTATAAGGAAGGTTTGATGTTGAGAGTTGATGGATGAACTAGTATTCTCTCTACACTCTATTCTATGCTCTATGAGCTTTATTTAGGTGTAGCGGTTCCACTCTAGATGTGCCACTTAGGGATAGGCATCACTCACATGTATATTCTCTCTGTGTGACCAGTATTGGAACTCTGTATCAGGCTCCATCTGTTGCAAAAAGAAGCTTCTTTGATGAGTGGTATGCAGTACACTTTTCTATAAATATAAGGATCCCTATTTGTCATGTGGTAAGATATTTCCTTTGTCTACTGATATGACAGAAATGGGGTTTTCTCCAGGATATATGAAAGTTCCAGCCTTGTATATTTGGATATAAGAACAATGCTACCAATGAGTTCCCTCCTATTGAGAGGGTTTTATGTCCAATTAGAAATATGTCCATTACCATTTTTCTGGCTCCTGTTGTGAGTCAGGCTATATAGTCACATATAAGAGATTGATGCTATGATCTACAAATATGGGAGAACAAACATTGCTTGCTTTTCTTTTCTTTGTATATTTTTTCTTTATTTTTATTTTATGTGTATGAGTGTTTTGTCTGCATGTGTGCAAGGTCATCCATGTCACAGAAGAGGTTGTCCATCTCCTAGAACTGGAATTATGGATGTCTGTTAGCCAACATGTTGTGGTGGGATTTGAACCCAGATCTTCTACAAGAACAGTCAGTGCTCTTAACCACTGAGACATGTCTCCAATCCCAAGTTACTTGCTTTTCTGAGTCTGTTACTTTACTAAGCACAAAAGTTTCTAGTTCCATCCATTTACTTGGTAAGTAGAACTGCATTGTGTAAATGTACCATACCCATTCATCAGTTGAAGGACCTTTTGGTTGTTTCTATTTTTTAGCTATTGTGAAGAGAGTAGCAACAAACATGGATGTACAGGTTTCTCTATAGTAAGGTGAGTCTTTGGTATGTGCCAAGGAATGGTATAACTGGATCATATTGTAGGTTTACTTTTAGTTTATTGAGAGTTCTCCACACTGTTTTCCATAGTGGTTGCATGAGTTTGCAACCCCATCAGCAGTGAATGAGCATTCCCCTTTCTCCACATACTCACCAACATTTGATGTCTTTTATTCTCTTGATCTTAGCCAGTCTGACTGGTGTAAGATAGAATCTTAAAGTTATTTTGATCTGCATTTCTCTAATTAATTTTAATAATGATATTGGGCACATTTTACAAGATTGCTTAGCCCTTTTTACTTCTTTCTTTGAGAATTCTGTTCACATCCATAACCCATCCTTTTACTGGGTCGTTTATTTTCTTGTTTCTTTGCCTTTTGAGTTCTGCATATATTCTGGATATTAGTGCTCTTTTGGATCTGTAACAGGTGAAGATTTTCTCCTACTCAGTGCGTTTGCTCTTCACTTTCTTGGTTATTTCTTTCGCTATACAGAAGCTTTTTAGCTTAATGAAGTCCCACTTTTTGATTTTTGACCTTAATGACTGAGCAACTGCGTTTAAATTTAAAAAGAAAACAGTGCTCATTCATCCTAAAATAGAAATTTTATGAAACTACTTGCAGTTTGTTGTCCTTTAAGTTCATTATCTTAATCACTGTGCCTTTGTGGAAAGTTTTAACATGATTATATATTTTTTATTAAAAGATTTACTTTTATGTGTTAGAGTGTAATGCCTATGTATTTGTAAGTGCACCCATATTGTGCAACACATGCGGAGGTCAGGAGATGGCATTGAGTCCCCTGGAACTGGAGTTATGGACAGTCGTTAGCCCTCATGTGGGTGCTGGGTCTCGAACCCGGGAACCTCTGCACAGTCAGTGTTTTTAACCATTGAGCTAAATCCAGACCCAACATAACTATATTTGTAATGTAGAAAAAATATTCTCTTAATTATTAAAACCTTTTCTGGAGTGGAGTCAGGTGGACACAGCAGCGTTGTGAGATTGTTGCTGTGGTCTATGTAAAATATGAAGGAAAAGCTATAGTTTTAGGCAAACAGAGAAGATGGAAAAAAATCACACAAGTTTCTATGTGTAGTTTCCATAAGAAACAATTCAAATGAAGAAAGCAAATTTGGAATTAGGTTCAGATGAACTTGTGAGGCAGGATACAACACGATGGAAATAGACACAGAGGGAGAGAGCGACTTAAATCCCCAATTTTATTTGAGATATGCTCTTTTAGCAATTTAGCAATACTCATACACTAATACTCATTAATATTATTCTGTACTGTAGATCAGTGTCACTCTCACACCCATTTCTCTGCATATGTTCACCACATAACAATAATTATATGACAGGAAAATTTATTAATTGTTGTTATTAATTATTCCACATTGCAGATATTTAAACCATCATATTTGGGCAGTGAAAAGTCATATCTAATAAAAAATTTGACTCGATTTTTTGTTATCTTTTCAGAGTTGCCAAACCTAAGTTGTGCTTTGTTCATTCAAATTTCCTGTGATAAAATGATTCGTTTGTTTTATGTTCTATTGGTACATAGTCTATATATTTACTGTTATTTGTCATTTATCACAATTGTTAATCTACTACTCAGGATTGATCCTAGGGTCTTTTAAACATGAATTTTTATCACTGAACTGCATCCAAAGTTCTAAGTTTATTTTTATTAAGATGTTATCTTTAGCCATTTATGGTGGCACGTATCTTTAATTCCAGTACTCAGTAGACAGAGGAAGAGAGACCTCTGTGAGATCCAGGCCAGCCTGTTCTACACAGTGAGTTCTTGGACACTTGGGCTTGTCTCAAAAAAAGTTATCTTTATAAAATAACAATAATTTTATAAGATATTCAAATTTTTTCTTTGAGATATGTTTTATCTGGATATAGTAGATATAGTAGCACCACTTCTACAGTATCACTTGAAATTTAAGAGAGAATGCAGCAATAAAACCAAGTACTTTCCAGCATTGAAAATGTTTCATCATTTAAATTCTTCTTTTTGACTAGTTTCCATAAACACAGAGACTGTATTTCTCCAGCTTAATAGTGAAAGAATACGACATTAAAACTAAAAATCAAGTAGTTATAATTACAATAAATTTAGAAATAAGTATATTAAAATTTCTTAAATTTATTTTTTTCTCAACATATTTTTTCACTTAATTTTTTGTGCATTTCATACAATACATCTTTATCATATTTAGACCCCCTCCCCCACCAAATTTCATACTTGCTGTCATATGTTAATACCTATCCAGTCAGTTGTCCCTGAGTGTGAGTTCCTCCACTGGAGTCTAGACAGCCTATCTGGTTATTTCAGTCACAACATTTAAACAGATCTGTTTTTTCTTTTTATTGCAATAGAGGTTTAAATTTTGATAATTTATTCTCAAGTTCTTTGAAAACAGTGCATTTTGAAGCAATTCAAATTTCTGTCATTTATTTAAACTCTCCTTCCTCAAAGTAATTATTGTTTATTATTTTAAGAATGTCAACATCTGAAATGTTTAGTTTCTCCTGCTGAGATACTTGTTCAGATCATCATTGACTTGACATTGCTTTGAGAAAATTAATAATGGGCAAGTTGGCTTCACTGGCTTATTCACTCATGTATTTACAGGGTTTTCTTTTCTCCCTCTTTAAAGCTACACACTGACCAAGATAAAGGAGATGGGAATTTAAAATACATTTTGACCGGAGATGGGGCTGGAAATCTGTTCGTTATAGATGAAAATACAGGAGATATTCATGCTGCAAAGAAATTAGACAGAGAAGAAAAATCCCTGTACATTCTTCGAGCCAAGGCTATCGACAGAAAAACAGGACGACAGGTGGAACCAGAATCTGAGTTTATCATTAAAATCCATGACATCAATGACAATGAGCCAAAATTCACAAAAGACTTATACACTGCCAGTGTTCCCGAAATGTCTGGCGTTGGTGGGTATCTGCTAACCGTTGGACACTAGCCTTTTTGTTCGCTTGTTTGTTTGCTACGGTAACTAATGTGTCCTTTAAAAATAAGAACTATATCTGGAAACAAATATTTAAATATTTTATTATTTTTATTTTATGTGTATTAATGTACTGCCTGCATGTATGCAAGTACGCCTGAGTCGTGCAATGCCCATGGAGGTCAGAAGCCGGCATCGGATTCCCTGGAACTAGACTTATTGATGCTTGTTAGCTGCCAGGTGGGTGCTGGGAAGCTAACCAGCAACCTCTGCAAGAGCAGCCAGTGCTCTTAACAGCTGAGCCAACTAATTTTGTATAAAACCATTCTTTTCCAATTATTTTCAGCTATTAATATCGTAATGTGTTCTTTTTATTGTAACTTATTGAGAGAAGTTATTTGATTGCATTGGGATCATTCCCTTTTCAGATATTCAAAAGGGGGTCCCAGACAATGTATTATGCCTGAAAGGAAAGGATTAACAGTGTCAGCAGCTTTGCTCACATTATACTGAAAAATAAAAACTGCTTGTATTTGACATATTGCTTCTACAGAACTGTCTCATTTAATCATTAAAACAGCCTCATTTTGTAAGCAGAGAAAATAGAACGTTACATCTCCATCTCCTTAATTAGGAACTCAGAATTCAGGAGGATTTAACAACTAAATCAAAATCAAACAACCTATAGCATCATGGCTGGATTCCAAGGTGTTTGCAGTGTAGTTTTTGTGTACTTTCTACTACTTGCCTTTAGTGAAATAGTAACTTTTACAGAGTCCTCACAGCTAGCTGTGGGAACCCACACCTTTAATCCCAACACTTAGGAGGTTGAAGTAGGAGGATCTCTTAGAGTTCAAGGCCAGCCTGGTCTACACAGGGAGTTTCAGGACAGCTTCGGCTACAGGGAGACCCTGTCTCAAAAAAAGACTAACCAACTAACTAACTACTAAATAAATAGATAGATAAATAA